CACCGACGGTGATTWGTGSYTKCGTTCAAATCACTGCAAGCACGAGTGTCAATCATACTCAGAACTTGTCATTCATCATGCAGGATTATTCTCGGTGTACAGTATATAATTACATTGACACAACCACACATGATCTCAAGTRAGAAAGTACTGTAGGACAAAGAAAGGAAAGACTGTACCGTCCTATTGACTTCACCATGGACAATAAACAATTTCGTGAATATGGGAAGGAATTAATCGACTTTATAGGAGATTATTTTGAGAATATCGAGCAGAGTTCTATCAAACCCGATGTCAAGCCTGGATTTYTATTGAATAAGCTGCCATCATCAGCTCCAAGCCAAGGWGAACAGTTTCAGGAGATTCTTGCCGACTACCAAGAGCACGTCATGCCAGGGGTATGTTTYAAATAGGAAATAGATTTGTTCAATTAACCGTCAACTACGCCGAATTACATTACAACAGCATTACATTACTTTATTATACTTTATAGCCATGATAGCCGTCAAACATTGAAAGAGAATTTGTAGAGGTACATTAAGAAAAACAGAAGGACAAGAAATTAAAAAAGATCATGTTTACCGGTGATATTTAGTTAGTGATGCAAAAATGAATATCTAGTTAATCGGTGTTTGTGTTATGACATGTACTTAAAGTAGCCTGAAAATTTGCAATACTTATCAAACCCGAATCCTTATGAGATAAAGTAAAATTCTAGTAATGCACTTCATATTGTATTCTATTATATAGCATTTTTAAAACTTTCAAAATAATTTTTTTTTATGAATATACATATTACATAACACAAGTTGACGCTAACCATTGATAAAGGTGTCATTCAAAGTTATTTATCAAAACAGTTGGAAATTAGTTATGAAATGTTTTAGAGACTTAATAGAGAGCAAAGCTGAAACGTCCATAAACCTGATTAACTATCCTTAAAATTTTATATTTAGAAAATCGATGTTTCTAATTCAAATTTAAGTCAATGGACGAATCATTTGAGGGTCCCCAATGCCGTTGCCTGGTTACATTTTCATTATTTTGTCATGTCAAGTTCAATCTAATAATTCATGAACAGGTCGACTAGAGGTCTGATTCRTGACAATACCTGCTAATAATTTACYATCTCTCATTCACCATTGGCTWAGGTTTTAGTTCCTCGAAAARTAGCCGACCTGCGAATTTTKCCTCATTRAATCCTCATTAGTTACACACAAAGTAATCAGGGCGAGGCGCCGTGCATTAAGCTCAGTCATTCGTGAAAAGGCGACAATAGTCTTTTACGCACGGCGCTTCGTCTTGATTTTTTTGTGTTTGACGGCAAATCGGCTATCCACGGACGAATCTGGAACCAAGGCCACTCAAATATGGCGATCTGTAACACTTTTTACKAAATAGTGAATAATCAGSTTTATTGACTACAATGAGTTTATTCAACAGATCTTGGGCTGGAATAACCCAAATTTTCACGCATACTTCCCTGCAAGTATTTCATACCCTTCTATTCTTGGTGAACTATTAGCAGCAGCTACTGGGGGAGTTGGATTTGAGTGGGTATGTGTGTTTTTTGACAGTTTTAAGGGTTTTTTTTTTCTTGTGGTAATTTCTCAGTAATTTCACTATTGAATTGTGTTTCGTTTCAGTCAGTAAATCCTTCGTATACAGAACTTGAGATCGTTGTAACAGAATGGTTAGGTATGGGGTTTCTTTTTGTAATGTAAATGTATATTTTCCCTCCTTCTTTTTCCCTTTTCTCCGTTTTCCATGCATTGGAAAWTACTATCAAATCAATATTTAATGGTGATTAAGTTTTATTCTTTAACCACTTTAATCAACTTACAGTGAGATACAGAACCCGAGCATGCAWGTATGATATAGAAATATTTCTTGAATTCAAATATCTTTTTTCTTGGTTCAGGCAAACTCCTGAATCTCCCAAAACAGTTTATTGCGACAGACCCAAGTCAAGGCCAAAACGGAAAATGGGGCGGTGGTGTTATCCAGGTAAAGTTACTGCGGTAGTTTCCAAGAAATCACATCGAAATCATGATAATTTTCCTAAAGGCTGATTTACACGGCACGATTGTCTCGTGCGATTTGTAGTATACGACTTGAGTCGCGCAGTGTAAATGCCCCTACGACTTGTAGTAGGGTTTTGAACCACTGCTTAAAATCCTACGACTTGTAGTAGGAAAATCGTATACTACAAGTCGCGCGCGACAAATCGTACCGTGTAAATCAGCTTTAATAGTTTTGCTATCCATTTCATGTAGAGTACGGCTAGTGAAAGTGTTGTCGTAGCTATGTTAGCAGCAAGAAAGCGTGCCCTTGATCGTCTTAAAGAGAAAAGTCCGGATGAGTGTGATTCAGTGCTGATGGGAAAACTTGTCGCATACTCTTCAGTTGTAGTAAGTAATGTAATATTCAAATTATATATTCATCGAAATTCAATTTTCGACCGGAGGAATAGACTTTCACAAAGTCGCTTGTTGAAGGTTTTTTCTTAGTTATTTTTCGTGAGCCAAAAAAGAGTGCGGTTTGTGAAACAAATGACTTCCTTAAGAAAGGATTTTTCACATTAAATCCTTTCCTTCTACATTCAATGAAGGTTGTGACAGCAGAGCTTAAGAAACTCCTAGTGTAATCAAATTATCACCTTGCGCAGGTTGATTTTTTTTAATTAAAATCTCTTTCAGTTTAATTTAAAATTCATAATACTGAATTYTTTCTCTGGCACTAGTCCCATTCATCCATCATGAAAGCTAAGCTTGTATGCGCTACTAAAATACATCTGATTGAAACTGATGATCAAGGAGTGATAGACGTTGAATTGCTGATAAAAACAATCAAGGTAAACTCTATAAGCAACYTAAAGAAACGGTATTTTGAGGTGTTGTCAGTGGTTTTCYRRTGAAGTTCATAGCTAAAATAACGATATTTTTCTTCCTTTGTTTAGGAGGATGTCCAATCCGGTCTTATTCCGTTTTTTGTAAGTACACTTGTACATATTATACACATTTTACATATTAATTTGCAATAATGTYTTTTGTAAGTAAACAA